CTAAGGAAGCAAAACTTCAATTTTTATTTTTGTCCCCCACCATTAAAATAGAATTAAAATTATATTATTACCCCTTTTGCAGCTCGCGCCCATAATTCTTGTCCGATATGGCAAGAGATAAGATGTGACTTCCAATTGTCTTTCCCAAGTGCTAATTTTGTCCGAATCTGTAATGATTGGAATGGACAAAAGTTTCGCATTATTGGGCTCTTTCCGTCAACTACTTTAAATTAGGTGGTAGACCGGCCGGGTCGGTCGAACTCCCGACCCCCAAACTTGAGTTTGCACTTCTATTGAGTCTTGGATTGTGAACTATCCGAGCAAATAAATAGGATCAAACTAGATTCATTTATCAATATTGACGAGTCAAATTCGTGCATTAACAAATTAAATTATAAAAAATTACATAAAGAAATTATATTTAAATTTGAACGAAAACGAGCTCAAGTTTAAATTGAGTCAAACTCATGAACATCTCGTTTCTTATAACAATTTTAGTCTAAAGTAACGTTGTTTTGCTCATTTTATTAATAAACACAAATGATGTGTTTAGTTTGTGAAAAAATTATATGTTTACATTATTATATTTTAAAGTACCATATTTATATATAAAAGTTTATTGAAAGAGCAAGATTGTTTGACCATTAATGAGCCAAAAAAAGATCCATCGAGGATGCAGTTTCGAGTTGCATTAGGTTTGAAGTTATGTTTCGTATCATGTGCTCCAAAGTGAACTTTCATTCTCTGTTATTTTTATTGTTTTGAACACCTTTCTGTAAGAACACAAAAAGTTGTTACTTCAAATGTTTGAAAATTGTAGTATTAATTTTATTTTTATATAAATTAACGAGACATTGTTTTGGACACCTTTCTCTGAAGAACACAAAGTTACTTTAAATGTTTGAAGATGGCAGTATTAATTTTATTTTTATATAAATTATTAACAAGACACGTATCAAGGTAGGAGTTCTCCTTTCCCGACTACACCAGTGACCACCACCATTTATTGGGAGAGTATTTTTTTAGTTCTTAACCTTAATTATTTCCAAGAAAATGAAGCCACACATGTACAAAACAATGAAATCTGTATGCTGATTTGTTTTTGGCCTTGAGAACGATGTCTCATTCTAGTCTCCTTTTCTATTTTCCTTTTATGTATTGTAAATAGGAAGATTTCAATTTTTTGCGCGTCACCGAAATCTATTGGTGGACCAATACACCCCCGTTAAGTATGCGTATGTGCGTAGATCCAACTGTCATACTACAGTCACCAAAATTGTATTGAATCAACATAAAGAATTTCAACTTACTGCGTAGATCCAACTGTCATAATGACAACAGTCACCAAAATATGTAAAGAATCAACATAAAGAATTTCTATTTTTTTTTTACCAACTGTTAAAAACAATTTGCCCCTAATGCCCCACTGAGAGGGTCAACCAGGTAAAAAAAAAAATGTGTCAAGCAACGGAACGGATTTTGTTCCCATGGTGATGATAAGCCTCCACTGTCCTGAAAAATAGTACTAATGCAATAAAATAAACACAAAACACCCATGATGTCTTAATCCAAGCAACATAAAAGGAAATTAATAAGTATCTACACAACACAAATGATTTCCACACCCAGTTCCTTCAGAATCTAAACCCGAAAAAACTCGAGCAAAAACGGCATTTTCTTAAAGACAAAAACCGGTGAAACTGGAGCATAAGTCCTGCATGCCTAGCAATTTTCATTCAACCTACGTATTCTATCGACTCTTGATATAAGCCCCACTCCCTCCTTAGCTCATCTTGGCCCCCGAAAAATCCATCTCCGGATGCTGGAACAAGACGAAAAAACAAAAAAAATTACACAAATAAGAAATAAAAGAACTTGAATTATGGATTATAATGCAAATTAATGAAACAGTAAAAAGTGGCCATTGGCATTCACCTCTGCCATGAACTTCTTCAATATTTCCTGTTTCTTCATATCGTCACTTGTAGGGAGTCCCATCTGCTTCTGCCTTTGATCAAACTGGAAAAGGAGAATTCGAGAAGAAAATGTTAAGAGGACAGTATAGAAAAACTAAGAAATTCAAATATAATTTGGAATAAAAAAAACTGCACCAGTCAATGGGCCAGGTTTCTAAAGTCCTTACCATCATCTTCTCAACAGTAGAACGGGTTTCGGGGTCTAAATCGGCCAATTTGCTGTTTGCCGGTTCGACTTTTTGAGTGTCGACCTCTGGATCACCCTTCACCAAGCATTTCCACCATTCCATCTGGTTTTGTTTTGTCAAGAGAATGGAGATTGATTTCTGGTCCTCTGCAAAATTGAATAACCATCAGTCGAGCAATAATAACATCATATTTCGGGTAAATAATTTTGGAAATTAAAATAATAACATCATATTTCGGGTAAATAATTTTGGAAATTAAAACAGGTACACCAAATATCTACACTGAACATTTTATCTAAACTTTGTAACTCAGAATCCCTACCCAAACTCCAAAAGCAGTCATCAACCTTGACGGGCTGGAAAAGCTCCCCCTGTAGGTACATAAAACAAAATTGAGTACTCAGCACAAATAATTACAAATTACAGAAAACTTAATTGAACTTAAACAAAAAAACGAAACGGAAAATGTTTACATCAATAATCGGAGGCTGGCCTTTGAGCCCAATTTTGAGATGATTTTTCTTAATCTCATATGCAATGGATCTCGACTTTGTTCCAGGAGGTACAGGAACAACAACGTTAACCTCTTGCAAAGACTGACCCCAAGAGTGAGTATCTAGGTCAAGTCCATTAATCTTGTTTGGAGCTGCTCAAGAATCAAAACCATTGGTCAGAAAAACAATAAAAAGAGTACTCACAAGTCTAAAAAAACAGGTATATGAGGATATATAGGCTGAATATCAGAAAGCCAAAGCAATAGGCAGACTCTTTAGAAGGTAAATAAATACATCAAATAAAGTTAACTGCATAAGCAGATTGGATTACATCAAGCTCAACTGATGTAGAACAACAGTCAAACAATATACATAGCTGTTTAATTGGTTTCACACCGAACACTTTTACGCAATAAATACACTAAGCTATAACTCAATGAACTAATTACCAATTGCCATACTGGGCCTGTCTCAAATCCAACAAATAACCAAGTGCCTTTGTCCTATACCTGCTCTTTGATTATCTAATGCTACACCAGTACAAGTCAAACAAAACTGAAGCTCACGAGTTAACCCAAATAATCCAAGTTGCAAAATTTTTAAACCAGGGCCAATAATCAATTACTGCTATTGCGAAGCCCAAACAACAAGAAATTAACAACAAATAAAATATACAAGTAAAAAAAATGGGCGAACTAAGATCTAAAACGAGAACATAATTAACTTACCTCGACGCCCCTTCTCGTCCACTTTCGCTTTACTCTCGCTTTCCTTCTTCTCCTTAACCACTTCCTTCACAACCTCCTCCTTTTTTACTGCCGGTGCAGGTGGCGCCGCCGCCGCCGCCTTGACCGTCGCCTCAGCTTTCGCTTCTTTCCTCCTCTTCTCCGCCGCCTCCACCTTATCTTTCACCATCCTCACCACCGCACTCACATCCTTAACCAGGGAGTCGCTCTTGAACAGATCGCTCTCCCTGGCCACGAACTCGAAGACCTTCTCCAGAAACCCCAGAGGATTCGACGGATCGAGGGCCGCGTTGAACAGCTTCCTAGCCGCCGCCGATGAAGACGACGACGACGGCTTCTTATGGTCGTCCTCCTCGAACTCAGAGAGTATCGCCATTAGCAGGCTTGAAAGGAGATGGATGGTGCAGAAAATCAGAGATTTCTAGGGTTTCGATGAAGCACGATTTGAGGTTTATGGAGTGGTTCGAGCTGAGGTTTGGGGCAAAGTAGAGGGGTATATATAGTGATGGTGACCGGTGATACCGTGGAACCCAAAAACCCTTTGATTTATGGAGGTTAAAGTAGTAAAAACGATTCGCCTTAAAGAAGTAAACAAGTCGAGTGGACTTCTAATAATCGAGCTCCGATGAGCTTTTATCCAGTCGAGTACTTAATGAACCAATAAATAAAATTAAGTACAATTTATTATGTTAAAAATTTTAAAAAATTACATAAAAATTTATATTCGAGTTTGAGATTTAACAAGGAAATAGACACTAACATTTAATTTATTTAAATCGATCTCATTTAATTATAAATTGAGACTTGGCTAGATATCACTAATCAAATTATATATCTTTTACAAATTCACTCATTAAAACAACAAGTAAATTGATTAAAAAATATGCAATTAAGTTTTGATTTTAAAAGCAACATGATTAGGAAAAAACAGTTTTTGTAGCCGTCAATGGGCCTAGCCAGTTGGATGAACTTACGAAATTGGGCTATGAATTTTACGTATGTGGGTATATGCTAATGGGCTCACTATTCATTGTTCCTCAGAATTGCTGAGTTTGAGGCTTAATCCTAGTTGGGCACACATTTATCCCGGTGTATATTTGACGAGGCTCGAGCTCGACTAGTCAATAGTGATAGCCGATATCTTACACGTCAATTATGTCAAATTATATGTCCACAGATATAATATGAAAATAGCATTTAATAATGTTCTAATTACATATTCATCTCATCACATGTCACATAAGCTGACTTTTGCACACAATCTTTCATATCTTGAAGAGACTGTAACATGTCATCACATAGCTGATGGGGATTTGGAACCAAATTTTCATCAGCAGCTATGGAGATTATAAACTTATTAGCATAGCTCTGGAAAGTGATGAACAATGCCTGCAATAAAATCAAATTATTCAAAACATATTAAGAAAAAATAATGGTATCGATATCATTCTTATATCGTGTTTTTTAAGGTAGAAATTAAAATAATAATGATAAATTTGTAAAATTGAATTTGACTTACTTGAGAAAACCCAGAAACAATGGGAGCAATATAACACAAGGGGTGGCCAAATGGAGTGATCTCTTCCCTTGGACCCATCATATTTGACAAAAACAAAGTTGTGTTCAAGGAGATTCTCTTGAGAATAGAAGCTGATGCCTGTATAATAACATTGTACTTTCTATGTTAATGAATCTTGTAGATGGTCAAAATTCATAGATATTCAGCAATAAAAAGAAAAGTGCAAGCGTGTAAACGCAAGCACATATTTCGTCCACTATTGTGTCATAATTTCAATATTTTCTTTTTCTCTTATATATATTATTCCTAATCCAACATATTACCACTTTGTAATATCACTTCGTACTCTGGTTGGTGAAAAGTGACCATCAACAAATGCTATTCATTAATTTCATGCCTAACAAGATATAGAAAGAAATTTATACCTTGGATTTTAGTTGGTAAGCAGTATTTTGGGGTTAAATTAGAGGTTTGAAGTGAGTTAGTGGTCCAATCCGTCAGAACCTCTATTCAATTGTTTGATAAGTAACAAACTGAAATAATCTTTTGGATCGAAAAAAAAAACCACTAAAGATGTTTTGTGAAACATAGATTGTAAAATATATTGTTTTTACATATTAAATAACTAATTATTTACCAATCAATATGCCGAATAAGTTAATTCAATCACAATTAATCCAATCACTCAATCAATCAAGAATCAAAACTGATAGCTCTCGCTATCAGCTAATTCAATCTAATGCCTGCTAAGTGTCAAACATACCTTAATTCAAAATAATTTGGTAAATAGCTTGCATATCATGGCCATACATTGGGGCTCAAAAGATAGTTTCTTTTGATCCATGGCTCCTTAGCTCCAAGAACATAGGCTCAAGGGTCATCTTGCATAACTATGTCAAGTGGAACAAGGGCACCACCTATTTTATTGCCCCATTTTCCCCTTAATTGCTTTTCATCCTCCATAATATCACTCAAATCCTACATAAATTTGCATCCTAATACAATTATTAGGGTATATAAAAAATAAATATTTTTCTAATTGACCTTGAAATAAAGTGTTTAAGGTACCTCAATTATTGCAAAAGGCCTCAAGTTGAAACAAGCTACTGATGTAAGACGAAGATTTTTGGGCAAAAAGTTGTTCCTTTGGGCATATGTAGGATTTTGTCCTCGGCATTGACCTGTGAAGACAATTGTGAACACACATTAGAATATAAAACTTCCCAAAAAATGGAACAAACGAAAAAAGAAAAGAAAGCAAGAACACTATAAAAAAGATATCGACTTCCAAAGAAAAATTCAATTAAAAAGTATTCCAACACAAAATATTACCAATTTTTCAATATTATATATATAATTTCTGATTGAATTTTCCAACATAAGTTGACACTAAAATCTTCGCTGGAATCAAGATTCTATTAATTTTATTTTTTCGACCACTTTTTGTTGTATAGTTTTTTCCATAATTAACTTTTTCCACCTGTTGAAAAATCACCGTTTGAATCGTCAACATCCAACTAAAATTCTAATGAAAAATTAGTTCCAACGGTACATTTCTATTTCTATTGAAAATTTTCAATAGGAGTTGTAACAGTAGAATATTCATTGGAACTACCATTGGAATTATGTTACAATATACCGCCGTTGAAATTTGACGGTTTTGTAGTAGAAGAAGAGTAATACCATATCTCATGTTAAGATAGCGAGTTAAACCAGCTTGAACTACACCCGTGCCTACATCATTGACAGTCTAGAGGATATGAATCAATAAAAAAAATAAAATGTGAGAGGCATCATTTTTCAACTCCTAGGAAATAAAATAATGGCCACTTATGTAATGTAATGTAACTATCTAACTAAAACGAACCGCATTCGTAGCCGTTTTGACGAGCTTGATATCATCAAAATCAACGATCCGATGCACGAATCTCTTGGAAGAGTTCTCCTTCCCTCTTTCGCGATTAATTGGAATAATCTTCTCATCTTTCAAAAAAATTAGTGTCGCGAAAGCCCTCATGAGACCGGTGAATGTGTTGAAAACCATCACGATTGCTATCCAAACTTTGACGAACATACTTGTCGATTTTTCGTTTTTGGGTCGGAAGTATAATGTGTCTGGTCTTCTTTGGACCTTGGTGTAGTAAATGAGAAAGGGGGACCTTAATGTATTACTACTAACATTGACCTTAATGTATTACTACTAACATTCATTTGTTCACCTAACAATATAGATTGATTAGTCCCGCATTACTATTTTCATGGAGTTNTTATTATTTTTATTTGCAGGGATTGGTGGTCAATATCCAAAGGTATGGTAATAAATTCATCTTATCCATAGCTGCTGATGAAAAGGACTTTTAATTTATGATGAATAACATGATCAATTGATATGATGTATGTATTTATAACTCCATTATTTTGCAAGTAGTACGTCATTTTCTATTGTTGTATATGTAAACTGTATTATGAATAATATATATTGAATAAGAGAAATGCATGTACAAAAAATTGCTAGAGAAAAATAATGTTTGTTTCATTTTATTTATATTGAAATTGAAGTGCAATTATATTTCTCCTGTCAAACTTAAATACGATTATTCAAAATAAAAAAAATTATTGCACAAAAGAAAATTAAATTTTATAGAACCATTACATATCTATAACATTTTATGACTTAGATTATCGATGGAGAATGCACTATAACTTATTGTAGAAAATACTCGATTCATTTTAGATAAACGAGTAATGGGTTCAACTGTTTGATACACTTGGGCTTGGTCTGTAGTGTACTTAATTCATTTCTTTTATGCAAGACATAGGTAGTGTAGATGGATTGTTCTCATAGTTGGGCTTTATTCCTTGGACCAGCCCAAATTCTCCCCTCCCCCGAGAACGGCCCACCGTGCGATCATGTGTGTGGGCAACGACGTCGTTTGAGTGCCGAAAACCCTAGTTACCTCCTACTATATCAAACCCATCAAGCCATCTTGAGCTTGGTAAAAGAGCAGAGTAGTCAAAATGCAGATCTTCGTCAAAACCCTAACCGGCAAGACCATCACGCTCGAGGTCGAATCGAGCGACACCATTGACAATGTCAAGGCCAAGATTCAGGACAAGGAAGGTAACCCATCTTGCTCATCTATTTTTTTTTCTTTTTTTTTTTTTCCTTTTTTTTCCCAGCTGATCGACCATTTTTCAGCTCCTTTCATGTTTATTTGGGAATGCAAAAGAAAAAGCAATAAGGGACTTTTATTCGATTTAAGATTTGGTAAATTTGTTCTGGATCTGTTCAGGGATCCCACCGGACCAGCAGCGCTTGATCTTCGCCGGAAAGCAGCTCGAAGATGGCCGGACCCTTGCTGATTACAACATCCAGAAAGGTATTTTTGTTATTCCTTTTTTCTTTGTTTTAATTTCTTCAGGGTGCATATTTCTTTCTTTATTTCGTTTGTTGTTAATTTTGTAGAGTCGACTTTGCATCTGGTTCTGAGGCTCAGGGGTGGCATCATTGAGCCCTCTCTCATGGCTTTAGCTAGGAAATTCAATCAGGAGAAGATGATTTGCCGCAAGTAAGCTCGCAGGACTTGGTGCAATTGTTGAATTTTGTTCTATTTTTCGCCCCCATTAATTTCATTTGTTTGATGGTTGATTGGCTCTTTTATTTTGACATTGTCAAACAAATAATGTATGGTGTCTGTTAATAGTTCTCTATCTTCAGTTATGTGATATATGATTGTAATCCTTTCAAGTTTAACTTTTTGTTGTACTTCACTTCATGAACAATATGTTAGACTTGTATCTGCAGTTTGTATTGTTTGCGTTATATTCATCTTTATTGTTTTGACTTCATATAAATCCAGTTAAAACATTAGAAAATAAAAAAAACAAGCGTCTTTCCTTCAAAATTTCATTTTTTTGCTTTTTTGTTCTTACATTTAATGAACTCGGTTAAAGGGTTATCAATAATTCATCAAGTTCGACTTGCCTTAGTAATCTTTGTTCTTGATTCTGACCAAGGATACCCAAATCATGCTTTGGTAGTAAATTTTGAAACCTGATTTGTTTTCAAATATTCATGATAATCTACTTTGACACTGGATTATAATGTTGTACATGTGTTGTTTAATTGTAGATGTTATGCCCGTCTGCACCCACGCGCTGTCAACTGCAGGAAGAAGAAGTGTGGACACACCAACCAGGTTGTTAAATGTGGTGTATATTCATATGCTTTTATTTGCTTCATTATTTGTTCAGAAATTGATCGATTGTGCTAATTATTCTTCTTGCTTGTGTTTGTGCAGCTGAGGCCTAAGAAGAAGATCAAGTAGACTGCTTATTCTTGCAAGCACTCCTGGCCTGGCTACATGCATGAAATTCTATCCAATTTCTATTTTGCTTGTATTTGGCCTATAGTGGACCATTTGTTGTGTGTTGTACTCTAATACCAATTGTTGTGTGTTGTACTCTGGTACCAATTGTGTTTTTGGTTTGTATTTTGGCAATCCCAGAATTTTAAGTTATTTGACAATCTGAAATTGAAGTTAGCTTATACTTTTACCTTTTAACTGAAAGTGTTTGGTGTCCATGTTTCAACTGAAATTGACCTGGTTAATTTGGTCATGTGAACTTTTAATGGCGATTAAACAGGTTAAAACTGGCCGTTTCGGTTTGATTAAGTTTAGAGTTGTAAATGAGTTTTGCTCTAGCTCACGGTGACTAACTGGGCTGAAAAATAGTTTTAGTGCATAATGAGCTGAGATAGTTTGGGAAATTACATAAGAGCCCTTTTTTCTAGAGGCTAAAGAGTTTGAGTTTGGCTTGTTAACTAGATGAGCTCCTATATGTTCAAATACAGAGTCTACAAATAAAACCAACTTCTATATCTTGAAACAGTCCACAAATAAGACCAACTGAACAAGAAAAAAGTAATTTTAAAACAAATTCGAAGAAGTAAATGCCATTTTTAATATAACACGTTACTACATGCGCACACTTCTTAGCTCATAAGATTTTCTGCTTTACATAGAAAGCTTAATTAAATTTAAAACTCAAGCAGATAATATAGACCTAACACTCTCAGCAAAACTCAGCCATCAACACAGCCCTTTTTTCATCACTGCTTCTTTCATAATCTCGAAAGACCTAACCAAATCATCACATAGTTGACGAGGATTAGGGTACAGCGCCTCGTCAGCACCTAAGACTATCACGAGCCGATCGGCGTAGCTTTGGTAATGTATCACCAGTCCCTGAACCAACAAATATACTAGAAATAAATTTAACCGAAAATTTATATTCAAACAATTAATTGTCGCGTAAAAATTTCAATGTTTTTATGTTAATGAAGGACCTGAGGATAACCAAAAACAGAAGGGGCAATATATGCCAAGGGATGACCAAACACATTGATCTCCTCTTGTGGGCCCACCACATTCGAGAAGGATAACGTCGTGTTCCGGAAAACTCTAGTCGACACGCCAGCCGCCACCTGTCAATCTATTTTTTTATTCCTTTTTTTTTTTGTAAAACAAAAGTTTCGAAACAATCTGAGTTAATGAACAACACTCGAGTTAATTTGATTGTAACTTACTTTGCTTCCGAACAAAAACATCATTAGCTTCATGACCCCAAACGCGACTTTGTGGCCGAGTGATAGTTTCTTTTGATCCATAGTCGATTTAGCCCTTCGTATGTGGGCTAAGGGATCGTTTTCAAGGGCAATGGTTAGAGGAAGCACAACAATGCCGACTAAATTGCCCCACATTCCTTTCAATAGCTTCTCCTTTTCCATCATCTCGGCCAAATCCTGTGTATTTTCTCTTAGTTCATTTTTGCTCGGTTTTGGAAAAATCAAACAAAATGGATATTGTAAACTTCGGTTATGGATATATATATATTAAATACTCACCTCGAGTTTTGCACACGGCCTGAGGTTGAAAATGCAAGCTGACCTAAGACGGATGTTTTTGGGAAGAGAACCGGAACCTTTCTTGGTTATCTTCATACCACTTTCGTCGTGTTTTTCTGCATCGAAGGTAATTGGGATGCATTATGAAGCGACGAAAATTACCATTTTTTTACTGTTTTTCGTTGGGTTAAATGAGGAAATTTACCGTATCTCCTGCTGAGATAACGGCTGAGGCCAGCTTCCGTGACTCCAAGCACAACGTCGTTAATGCTCTTCATGAACGAACACCAACATAAAATTCGTCAAAATTGTTTTACCAAAACAAAGAGTTTTTAAACCGATTAAATGAAAAATTTATGAAAAAAATCATAACAAGTAATGTATCAATATCACATAGATAGAATTAGCACTATTTCAATTCGCATACGTAGCATTCGTAATGCATAATTGAGGCTTATCACGCACGAAAAATGTAGAATCCTCATACTCATTTTTTCATATGAGAACTAGGGCTGCAAACGAGCCGAGCCGAGTCGAGCATTGGCCTTATCGAGCAGGATTGATTATTTTTTTTAAGCTGCTCGAGTTCGAGCTCGAGCTCGTCGAGCTCGATTTTTTGATGCTCGAGCTCGACTCGACAAACAATACCGAGCTCGAGCTCGACTCGATTTCATAATGCTCGAGCTCGGCTCGAGTTCGGTTCGAAATTTTTCAAGTAAATTTGTAAAATTACCATTAAGTACATATATTAATATTAAGATACACACATATATAAGGGTATTTTTGTAATTTAACATAATCTCGAGCCGCTCGCGAGCCGCTCGACAATGTAAATTTTGAGCTCGAGCTCGACTCGAGTTTATGCTCGAGCTCGACTCGAGTTTATGCTCGAGCTGCTCGAGCTCGACTCAAGTTTGGTCAAACTCGAGCTCGAGCCGAGCTTTGACTCGAGCGCTCGCGAGCTGCTCGGTTCGTGTGCAGCCCTAATGAGAACAACATGAAGTAGAACTTTTTTGTCAATGCAAAATTCTTGAAACTAAAAAGTAAGCTACTTGATTTCCTCCTATTCAACTTATTCTATTTCGTAATCATAACATTGGATGACTGACACGTGTAATCATTCTAGTTAAGAATAAACAACAATAAAAATCTCATCGATAGCCAAACGAAAATTAGATACAACTATAGAAAAGAAAAAAAAAAAAAATTGACGTACCACATTCATAGCATTCTTGACGAGCTTAATATCGTCAAGGCTAATAACCCTCCACACGAATCTCCTCGGACACAACTCCACATTACCGGTCGCTTTAATAACCGTCTTTGTATCTTTCAAAAACAAAACGGTCGCCAAAAACAACAACGAGTCGACTAAAGTGTTGAACACAAGCAAAATCAATGTCCAAACCAAGACAAACAATCTCTTCAGCAAACTATTTTTAGGGTTGACTTTTTCTTCACGTGCTTTCTTATTTGCAACGGGCGGTAAAAATCGAGATTCGGGTTTTTTCCGAGCACAAGCCATGACGAGCGAAATTAAGGACACGCCATCGCCAATAGAATGGTCGATTTTGAAGACTACGGTCGAATTTGCATCCGAGTTTTTCACGTTGAGCACGTGAACCTCCCACAAAGGCTTGTCGTGGCTCATCTGGCTTTTCGAAAGGCTCGAAATGTAGTCGTCTATGAAGTCATCCGGGTTTTCCATGTCGGGGTTGACTTTAGGGGCAATGATGTGTTTGTTTAAATCTACATTCGTACGTTGCCATGAAAATGTGCCAAACATTTTGTTCTTGGTAATCTAGTTATTACAACAAACAAACAATATAAGCGAACAGTAGCAAAAACAGGTTGCTACAATAAAGATGTTTTTTTATTTATAGGATATGATGGATCGACAAGCAAACGGTTAATTCACCCCCACCCAATTAGTATGTGTTTAGTAAAAATATCAAAAGGATATAAATAATTAATTAATTGAACAGGGGCATTTTAGTCCTGTTTTGTTTAGTTTAATACTCTCACATAGCTAGGAAAATAAGTTGTACATTAAGCCTCGTTTACTAGAGATGATGGAATTGGACAAATTAATCCATCCAATTTTCCACATCAAATTTTGGATATAAATTGTTTTATGTTTACCAAAGTGAATAAAAATCTATGATAAATAATAGAATTACTGATTTATTTAATTAAATTAATATTTTTATAAATTAAATAATATTATTTTAAATTAAATTAATATTTTATAGATTAAATAATATTATTTTATATTAAATAAAATAATTTAAATTATATTAAATTATTTAAATTAAATTATTTTATATTAAAAATATTTTTTAAATTAAATAAATTATTTTATATTAATATTTTATAGTTAAATAATAATATTTTAAATTAAATTAAAGTATTTTAGATTAAATAAAACTATTTTAAATTAAATAAACGTATTTTAAATTAAATAGAATTTTTTATAAATTAAATAATATTAATTTAAATTAAGTTAAATTACTTTATATTAAACAATATTTTTTAAATTAAAAAAAATTATTGAAATTAATTTTTTATTCATTAAATAATACTGTTTTAAATTAAGTAATATTATTTTAAATTAAATATTATTATTTAAATTAATATTTTATAAATTAAATAATATTATTTTAAATAAATTAAATTGTTTTATATTAAACAATATTTTTTAAATTAAATTAAATTATTTAAATTAATATTTTATAGATCAAATAATATTATTTTAAATTAAATAAAAAAAATTAGATTAAATAAAGGTCATTTAAGACCAAGGATAATTTTATCACACCATAATGGTCGAATTTTTTTGTCCCGCCAACAAGGATATATATCCCGCCAACTCATGACATGTCATATGTAATCTTATCTCAATCCTATTTAGTAAACGAGGATAATCTTAACCAACCTTATCCCATTATATGTCATATGTAATCTTAACCAATCTTATTCCATCCTATCAAGGTACAAAATTCAATGATATATTACCTAATAGGCTAGGTATTAATACTCTCTCCTATTTTTATTATTTGAAATAAAAGTAAATAACAATATATTTAAAATATCGTACTGTTCTTACCAGTTCAACCGAACACCAAAACCGACAGGCGTTGACCGGTTTGCAAGCAAACATTTTATTTAAGTTAATCGGACTGATCGATAAACCGATTGCCGGTCTATTCGGTCGGACTGTTCGGTCCGGTCCTGTTTTGAAAACAATATGTGAATTATATATTTAACTTATGACACAATCGTAATATTGTTTCCCCGTGCATCGCACGGGCCACGTACTAGTCTTAATTAATCTGAATAATCATTTTAGAATTTAGTCATTTACCTATTAACTTGTCCTTTTTTTAAATATTTTGATGATTATTTTTTGGGCATAGAATAACGACAAATTACTCCACAATTACAACAATTCGTGACTAGTTCCACCAAATGACTAATAATTGAGATCTGTTTTTCAACTTCTATTGAGCGTCTTTTCAGGTTGTTGAAATTACAATAGCCATTGTTACGACTATATACATAGCTACACATCCAACATTGCAAAGTAGCCAAAATACGTAAATAAAATTGTATAATCAAGAATGTAGATACAAATTCTACATTCAAATTTTACATACCAGCAAACTGCAAAATCGAGGATGTCTAGCTAGTGTTCGGCCTATTTCCTCCTTAAACAAGTCGAGATCGATCTTCGTTTTATAACCAAAGACGGCTAATATGCAGAGGTCGAAGCCCGGTGCCTGCATTAAGCGGGCTCCCGGGCTTGCGGGATCTTTTATTTCTTCTTCTTCACACATTTTCATCTCATGTATAGATATTTTTTTTCTTGCTTGTACTAGCAAGCTAGTATAAATAAATATATTTTATCAAGTTGAGGTGAAAAAGGTTGAAAGAAAGAAGGGAAAAAAAAAAAAAAAAAAGGGTCTGTAGAAAAAATCGCTGGGAGTAATTAATAAAATTAATTATTATATCAAGTTTGATGCATTAATTGGTGCTGGTAAATAGGTGGAGAGTAAGGTGAAACAGGTGAGGTGTCAATCTCACAAGTCAAGACATTGTGTATGTATTTTACTATTTTACCTCGTGTTATCTATATTATTTTATCATAAATATGATACCATAATAAATTCAAGTTTAAACAACTTTTACTATTTCGTGTTTTGTCATGTCGTATTTTTACTTCATGTGGTACCTATCATGATATTTGTCTTTTTAATCGTGTTTTTTAATAGTGTGTCATCGAGTATATATTTGGCAACAATTTCCACCTCTATACCCACAATAAATGTCCAAAGTTTATATATCTATATATATATCATCATTAGCATATCTATCTTACTATACTATAAAAACATTATGAACAAGCAGAACTTAGTATACTAGCTGAAATCGTCCCCATTTTAATCAGAAATTCGTTGACTAAATTTGTTAAGAATCTCATGTTTGACTCACATATTCAATTTATTGGGTTGTTAAAGAATAATTGTGGACCAACTTTTAGGACGAATTGTGTATGGGTCCATTAATTTATCAAAATTTTGTAATTCTAATATTTTGGACAACCAGCCTTTTCTTTTCTTTTTGCCAAATTGGTCAGCCAAAATTTAATTCATATCAATAATTTCCCAACTACCACAATATACAATTTTACTTTTTTTAGTGCTAATAAATGATTGAAATATATGTGGTTATAATATATATATATATATATATATATTATTTACTTCGACAAGTTATCGATAACAAGTTTTACATACCAGCAAACTAGAAAATCGAGCATGCTTAGATAGCTTTTGGCTTATCTCCTCTCTGAATAGCTCGAGGTCAATCTTTGTCTTAAAACCCATGACGGCTAATATGCAAAGATTGAAGCCCGGCGCTTGCATCAAACGAGCACCTGGGCTTGCCGGCTCTTTTTCTTCTTGCGATGTTCTCATCTCATATATGGAGTTTTTGCTAGTCACTAGACATATATTATAATAAATTGAAAGTATATATAGCATATTTTACTTATCATTGTTTATATAGAGCTTGGAGATATAGTGAACTTAAGGTGAAAATATCAATCATGTGCTATAACATAGGGATATTAATTAATATGTTAATAGTGATTTTCAATTAAGTTGATGTATTATATGGTCCTGTTAAATAGAAAAAGGTAGGGTCTGAGTTAGGTAAAACGAAAACATATTAGGGAAAGCAAAAACACGATTTCAAAATGAAATTAAAAAAAAAAATGTAACAATCAAAGTACACTCTAATCCTAGAATTTTTAAATCCAAATTGGGTTTCCACTTTTGGGGACTAATTTTCAGGTATGAAGTACTATTGAGGAAAGCGAGCTTTGAGAATGAGCCAATATAAAAACATTTCTTTTTTAACAGAAAACAAATTTTGATGTACTATTAAAAAATGTCGTTTTAAATAGTTACAAGGATTGGTAGCAAAAGTTTTACTCTTTCATGTTCATTTTCTCCTTTATCATATTATGAATTCTCCATTAGTTAGAGATTTGAATAGTAAGGTTGGGTCCAACCCTATTTCAAACTTAAATGACCTCAAATTCGGCGGGAAGAAAATAATACTTCACTTACATTTACCACAAATTTGTTGTTCATGTAATATCATTCAATATCTCTTATAAGTTTGAGCAAGTAGCTTTCTCACCTAATTGTACAAACCACAATTAAAACCATCACTAAAGTCACAACAACCTCAAATTTACAGCTTCTTCTAATTTTGCAAATTGAAACACCTATGCATGAAGTACACGTGGCTGTCTTGTCCAAATATTGTGTGCATATATACACATATACAGTGTGTTAGTTCAGATATTATGGCTATACAATTGTTTGTATCCTAATCACCTTATTTATTTTTCATTTTTCTTTGCAATTTAAAATGTTTGAACTAATTAAACATAAATAGACTCGGGGAACACTCATTTTTCAATTTTCTTTGCATGATAGAACGTAATGTGCCTGAGATTATTTTATTTAGCTACTATTTTAATCACCCAGCTTTTGACTTTTAAACAATTTTTGGACGGCCAAATATACCTATTTATAAAAATTGTCTCATATTTTTGACAATTGGGTCTGAAGAAAACTAGTGGCTTGTCCCGCTTGTGGACAACTTACGTAGAGAGAAAAAAAGATAATTATCGTCCCATATAAAAATTGGTCTTTGAGCAATTTAGAAAAAGAAATATTAATTGAAAACTATGGTAAAAAATGGCAAGAGAAGTGCACAATTTATACTACCATATACTAGGTAATAGGCACTAGATGCAGACACCATTAAAAATGGACTCGCGACCCACAAAAATAGCCCAGTACTCCAAGCCCAATAGATGGGATCCACTTACGAGGTTCGAAAACATTCAGTCAAATAATTGTCACCTGACAAAGAACCAATTGGACAGGTGAGAAACATAGAGCTTTTTTCCAAATCAGGGCCCAGAAAAGAAGCCCATAACAAATTCTCTAAACCCAAGATTGATGCTGCAAAATCAGCTGCATTGGACCGTTCAAAGAGAGCGATTGACTACAACTACAGGCATGCACTTATTGGGCTATTATTGGGGAGCGCGAAACTGACCAAAACCGAAAAATTGAGTCGAACCGTACAATCAGTACAGTTCGATTTGGTTCAGTTATTCTATATAAAAACTTTCGGTTTAAATTTTTTTTTATATTGCGGTGCGATGCGGTTATAGGTTTTTATAAGTTCGATTTTTTGTTTTATACGGTTCGTGTGCGGTTCAGAACCGAACAACACTAAATAGAATAAATTGTATAGAAAAATCATGATAAAATTGAAACTGAGCCAAACTGTGGATTTTGGTGCGGTTCGGTTTGATTATTTCAATGTAAAAAAGATTTCAAGTTCGATTTCGTTTCAGTTTTTTCTAAATTGCGGTATGATTTGATTTCTTTTTTTATGGGTTCGGTTTTTAATTTTTTTAAGTTCGATGTGGTTTTTCATCGAACCGCACCATTGATCACCCCTAGCTATTGGACAATATAAGCATTTATTTATCTAATGCGGATATTCGAACATAGACTATGAGAGAGATGGCATTTGGCACAGTTTATTCAAAAGAGAATATATATAGTATATATTGTATTTTACTTTTAGACAAAATTATAATGAGTTAAATGTAATGTTTTCAAACCTGCTCCGTGCAGTGACCCGAGCTGACTCCCGAGTCACCGAGTCAACACCCAATGAACGGGTCAACCCTCAATGAACGGGTCAAGTGCAAAGTGGACCAAGTTTGGCTTCAAATCGACTTGGAGTTGGGACCATCATTGAACGAGTTCAAGTTGAAAAACGTTGTTTATATAAATATAACGTGATTAGCTGTTTCTAGAAGAAAAAGTAATTGGATTAG